TTCCCCCCTTGTTTCACCCCCGCGCTTTCCCCTGAGGACAAAATGGCGGCGGCCGGGCTGAACCAACAGCGACTCTGCGGGGGGGGGGGCGGTGCCGAGTGTCCATTTTTTACACCGCCCCTCCCCTTTCACCTACGGAAACCCCCGTCCGTGCATCCGCAGCCTCCAAACCCCTCTGGAACCATCGATCCACCAAACCCGGCCTTATAGAAACCGCCACATTCTATACATTCCATAGAACCCCCCCCCCCAAGGCGGGGTTTTCCTCCTCCCACTTCCCGCCCGGAAGCTTTTGGCCGCCGCACCGCGCGGTGCCCGCGGATCGCGGTCCCCCATTGCGGCACTTCCGGCGGCGCCGTCGCGACAGGAGGAGGGAGGAGGAGGCGGGACCGCGGCTGTCGCGACAGGAGGAGGAGGCGGCGGCGGGGCCGCGGCTGTCGCGACAGGAGGAGGAGGAGGCGGCGGGGCCGCGGCTGTCGCGACAGGAGGAGGGAGGAGGCGGCGGGGCCGCGGCTGTCGCGACAGGAGGAGGAGGGAGGCGGCGGGGCCGCGGCTGTCGCGACAGGAGGAGGCGGCGGCGGCGATGAGGACGGCGCCGCTGCTGCGGCTCTGCGCCCGCCCGGGCCCGAGCTACCGGCAGGGGCAGCGGCCCGAGCCCGGAGTCCGCGAGTATTTCTATTACCTGGACCTGCACGGGCGGGTGAGCCGTGGGGAGATCGAACGGGGATCGATCAGGAGCGATCGGGGATCGATAATGGTTGATAAGGGATCGATCAGGAGCGATCGGGGATCGATAATGATTGATGAGGGGTCGATAATGGTTGATAAGGGATCGATAAGGACCGTTAGGGGATCGATAATGATTGATGAGGGGTCGATAATGGTTGATAAGGGATCGATAAGGACCGTTAGGGGATCCATAATGATTGATGAGGGGTCGATAATGATTGATAAGGGATCGATAAGGACCGTTAGGGGATCGATAATGATTGATGAGGGGTCGATAATGGTTGAGAAGGGATCGATAATGGCCGATCGGGGATCGATAATGATTGATGAGGGGTCCATAATGGCCGATCGGGGATCGAAAATGGTTGATGAGGGGTCGATAATGGTTGATAAGGGATCGATAAGGACTGATCGGGGATCGATAATGATTGATGAGGGGTCGATAATGGCCGATCGGGGATCGATAATGGTTGATAAGGGATCGATAATGGTTGATAAGGGATGGATAATGATCGATAAGGGATCGGTAAGGATCGATAATTATTGATAAGGGACCAATAACGGATCGATAATGACTGATAAGGGATCGATAAGGGACCCAAATTAAACCCGGATTAAAAGCAAAATAAAGGAGCCCAAAAATCCCCCCCCCAAAAAAAAAAACCAAAAACACAAAAAAACCACAAAAAATTCCAAAAAAGCCCCAAAAAGATCCCAAAGAAAACCCAAAAAAGACACAAACAAAAAACCCCCAAAAACCAACAAAAAACCCCAAAAAGATGCCAAAAGAACCCCAAAAGGATCCTGAAAAAAAACCCAAAAATCCCAAAAAGATCCCAATGAGGTTCAAAAAAAACCCCAAAAAATAAAAAAACCACCCAAAAAGATCGCAAAACAAACCCCAAAAGATCCCAAATAAACCCAGAAAAAAATCCCAAAAAAAACCCCAAAAATTTCCCCCAAAAAAAACCCCAAAACGCCCCAAAAAAACCCAAAAAAACCCCGAAAAAATCCAGAAAAAAATCCCCAAAAATATCCCAAAAAACCTCCAAATAATCCCAAAAACCCCCCAAAAAATCAGAAAAAAAACCAAAAAATTCCCAACCCCCCCCAAAAAAAAACCCAAAAAACCACAAAAAGTATCCCAAAAAAATCCCAAGAAGCCCCCCCAAAAAACCCCAAAAACA